AAAATCTTTAAGAAAAAAAAAAATGAATCGGTTAAAACTGTATGACTAGGAATGCACACTTGGGTGATAAGACCATAAAGAAACATAAAGAAGTTTATTTATGCCCATTTTTTGTCCTTACCATAAAAGTAAGGGTTGGGGCGCCTGGGTGGCTCAGTCGTTAAGTGTCTGCCTTCCACTCAGGTCATGATCGCAGGGTCCAGCCCCATGTCAGGCTCCCCGCTCGGTGGGAAGCCTGCTTCTCCCTCTCCCACTCCCCCTGCTTGTGTTCCCGCTCTGGCTGTCTCTCTCTCTCTGTCAAATAAATAAAATCTTTAAAAAAAAATGAAAAAGTAAGGACAGTGTTTACTTTTGGAGGGAAGAAGGAGGCTGTGACTGGGATGGGGCACATGGAAACTGCTGGGTGGCTAAAGACCTATTTCTTGACATGGGTGGTGGTTACAAGAGTGTCTTATAATAATTAATTTGCTTTAAGGTGGCTTGCTGCAAGTGGATTTTATTTTATAATAAAAACATTTTTATTGGTATGTTCCATGAATGAATGAATGAGTGGATGAATCAGTTGGGGCACTGAGCATCAGTGGTTGTTAGCATCAAAAGAGAGACATCCAGACAGCATACGCCCCAGGATGGGAGTACACACCACCACCTGTGAAATAGTCTGGCCCAAAATGGAATCTGAATCTGATCAAGTCTCTAGATCCAACTCCAATTTACAGGACAGAAGAACACTTTTTTTTTTAAAAGATTTTATTTATGTATTTATTTATTTGAGAGAGAGAGAGTGAGTGAGTGAGTAGGGGGAGGGACAAGCAGACTCCCTGCTGAGTGCAGAGCCTGACATGGGGCTCGATCCCAGGACCTGGAGATGACCTGAGCCGAAGGCAGATGCTTAACCGACTGAGCCACCCAGGCGCCCCGGAAGAACCCTTTAAATGAAACTACAGGTATATAATCAGTAAAGTCCAGACTATAGGAAACTCAGCAGAACAAATAAGGGGGCTGGGGGGAGACAATATGCAGTAGCAACATGTTGATTAAAATAGTCTCAAAAGGGACGCCTGGGTGGCTCAGGTTAAGTGTCTGTCTTCAGCCCAGGTCATGATCCCGGGGTCCTGGGATTGAGCCCTGAATCGGGCTCCTTGCTCAGCAGGGAGGCTGCTTCTTCCTCTGCCTGCCACTCTGCCTGATTGTGTTCTCTCTCTGTCTCACAAATAAAATCTTAAAAAAATAAATAAAATACTCTCAAAGACATATGAACCAATCACAACATGTGGACTTTATGTGGCTTCCACTTTTATTTTTTTAGTTATTTTTATTTCTTTAAAAGGTATATTTATGTATTTGAGGGGGGGGAGTGCACACACATGAGGCGGGGAGCAGAGGGAGAAGAAGAGAAGCAGACTCCCCACTGATCAGGGAGCCCAACGTGGGGCTTGATCTCAAGACCTGGGATCATGACCTTAGCTGAAGGCAGACACTTAACCGACTGAGCCACCCAGGCGTCCCATGGCTTCTGCTCTTAAACAAATAAACTGTAAACAAACATTTATAACACTTCTAAGACAACTGGAGATTTGAACCATGGTAGAATACTTGATGATCTTAAAAAATCTTGTTAAGTATTTTAGTTGGGATAATGGTATTTTGGTTACATTTTTTTTTAAGTATCTTGGGGTGCCTGGGTGGCTCAGTTGGTTAAGTGTCCCAATTCTTGATTTTGGCTCAGGTCATGATCTCAGGGTCGTGAGATTGAGCCCCGTGTCAGGCCCTCTGCTGGGCGTGGAATCCTACTTAAGATTCTCTCTCTCCAAACCATAAGAGACTCTTAATCTTAGGAAGCAAACTGAGGGTTGCTGGAGGGGAGGAAGGGAGGGAGGTGGGGGGATGGGGTAACAGGGTGATGGACACTGGGGAGGGTACGTGATGTAATGAGCACTGGGTGTTATATAAGACTGATGCATCACAGACCTGTACCCCTTAAACAACACATTACATGTTAATTGAATTTAAATTTAAAAAATAAAAATAAAAGATTCTCTCTCTTCCTCTACCCCTCCCCCCACTCAAGAGTGCTCTCTCTAAAAAAAAACTTATGTAAAAAAATTCTTAATGGAATTACGCACCATGTGTGTAGGTTTGACACTGTAACGTGAAAAGTTCCATGGAACTGAACAATGACGGCATTTGTAGAGTACCTTGGGTTCTGTAAAGTGCTCTCACATACTTCATCAGAACCGCACCGTACTCAAACTGTGCAAGTGAGGCAGGAGAACATCTCTTACTCAGAGATGAGGAAACTGAGGCTCAGAGGCTTTAAGGGACCTGCTCAAGATCACAGAGCTAGCAAGTAGTAACTTGTCTGACAAGTAGTTAATGGAATTAGGATTCCATACCGCCCCCCATCAGGCTGCCTCACTAGACTGTGCACCTGCCTCGTTTCCCCCATCCCACCCCTTAGTGCCCCATCCTTCCACCTTGGGCCTCTGTCCATGGAGCTGGAGGATCGCAGCTGCAAGCCACGGCTGGCTCTGCATCCTCCCCCACCTGACAGGGACATAGAACCAATTTCAGGGTCTTGTTTGCCAGTCCTTCTACTCTTTCTCCTTCAGCCTGAGGTGGAAGGGGGATGACAGCCACATCACCAGTGTGAGCCCTAAGGATATAGAGGCTGGTTTATTTTCTTTAAGACACAGAGGCAGAAATAGGATGCTCTGTGTGTACATGTGTATGTGGGTTCCTCTCTGTGGGAAGAATGGAGGGAAGGCGTGAGCAAAGATAAGGAGGGTAGAGGAAGTTGCCGGTGAAGTCATATGGCACACAAGGCTTCTTTCTGAAAGGTGCCTAAAGGTGTGTGTGTGTGTGTGTGTGTGTGTGTGTGTGAGGGGGCCTGGAGCCCTAGCGGACGGCTCTGCATATATGTTTGCCCCATGGTCTGGGTACCTGTGGCTGGGCCCACCAGAGGACAGAGATATCCTAAAATCTCTTTGCCTTCTCTTTGTGTCTTTGCATTTTTTTTAAGGTTTATTTATTTATTTAAGTAATCTCTACACCCAACGCTCAAACTCACAACCCCGAGATCAAGAGTGGCATGCTCTTCCAACTGAGCATGCCAGGCCGCCCTGTGCCTTTGCATTTTTATTTATTTATTTTTAATTTTTTAAAGATTTATTTACTTATTTGAGAGAGAGAGAGAGTGTGCAAGCAAGTGAGGCCTGATCCCACGACCCTGAGATCATGACCTGAGCCAAAATGAAGAGTCAGTCCCTCAACCGACTGAGCCACCCAGGCACCCTGTCTTTGTGTTTTTTTTTTTTTTTAAAGATTTTATTTATTTATTTGAGACAGAGAGAATGAGAGAGACAGAGAGCACATGAGAGGGGGGAGGGTCAGAGGGAGAAGCAGGCTCCCCGCTGAGCAGGGAGCCCGATGCGGGACTCCATCCAGGGACTCCAGGATCATGACCCGAGCCGAAGGCAGTCGCTTAATCAACTGAGCCACCCAGGCGCCCACCCTGTCTTTGTGTTTTTAAAAATTATTGTTGTCAGCCCTGTAACCCCATACCTTGGTATTTTATAGTTTTCATTCAGGAAGAATTCAGAAGGAAGCATGACAGAGCTTTCCTCTAGGGAATGGGATTGGGGTCTCAGGACTCACTTTCCACTAAGTACTCTCTTGTTCCATCTGATTTTTTTTTGGTCCTGTGTTTGTATATTTCCATCACATAATGAGGGGGAAATCATTGTTATTACCAGGGAACAATGGTGTGTTTGCCAGCCTCCCTGAAGATCCTGCTTCTATCAGCCTACTATAGGGCTGAGCAGATTACAAAGTGCTGGCAAATATAATTTCTCATCTGAATCCACTCATTCACTCAAGAAATATTTGTTAAATAGTTCCTATGTGTCCATCACAGTTCTAGAAGCTAGGGATATAGCTGTTAACAAAACAGAGAAAAGTTCCTGCCTTCCTGGGGACTTACGTTCTACTGGGTATAGAAAGACAAACAACAAAATTCACCAACATGCTAGGGAGAAGGCTAAAAGGTAAGGCAGGGGAGGGCAATAGGGAGGACTGAGAACAGGAGGCTGCCATGTTGAATAGGATGGTCAAGGAAGGTGACCTGTGAAGACTTGTAAGAGGTGAGGGAGTGCTCCGGGGAGCTGCCTGGGAGTAGAGGGTTCCAGGCTACAGCGAATGCAAAGGGCATGGCCAGCATGCTTGAGGAAAGCCAGCGTTGCTGCGCAGAGTGAGAGTAGTAGGAGGTGGGCTTAGGAGGTGGCGTCACCAGAGGATGCACCTGCGTCTAGCTGAGACGGGGAAGGCCCGGGCCCGAGGGGCGCAGGAGCGGGTGGGGTATGGGCGACCAGCTGCGGCGACGAGGTCGGGGAAGCGGTGGGTTTCCAGCCTCGCAGTCGTCAGCGTCCGGAGGCTAACGCCGCGCTCGCAGCTCGCCCCGCCCACTCGCAGGCGCTGCCTCCCGGGGTTGGCCGAGTCACGTGACCGCGAGCGGGCGCCCCCTGGCGCCGGGAGGGGCGTGGCGGCG